ATAAATAATCGGCCGTCCTGCTGACAGTACGCTTGACTGTTCAAAATGGCGATGGCTTGACTGTCGCATGTTCTGTGACGTCAGCTGCAAGTCCCTTATTATTACCTATGGTTTCTGGCCGTAAACCCAGCCCCTCGCACTGCATTAGTGCCGCCCCACCGTGTCTATAATTGGCAGAGGCTCACAGACTGACGTCCAAGTTACCCAATCAAAGATACGATCATTACTTACTGCATGCGACTAACCAATGAGAGTTGGCCTGTATTTTAAACATGTGAGAGAGTTTTGCTTATGTGGAAAATGTTTGGTTGTCTGTTGTAAGCGGTGAGTATAAATCTCCGTTATTTCTATGAATATGCTCGATAACGATCGCTGTTTGGGGTTGGGGGGTGCGGCAGAAAACATTTGAGAAGCTCCGGTGTCACAGGAAGGCTGTATTTTGTTTTAAACACGCGTTTTTAACTTGTTTGGATCTTCATCCGGTTTGATTCAGGCAGGAGTGTAGCATTCCCTCTTGGAATTACGCGGGATGAAACGTTTAAATCGCGTTAAATACAGCAGACACAGGAGGCGGTTGTCAGTAGAGATTAAGCAGATGCGCGCCATACCTGTTCATTGAACGGTATCTTTTAAACCACGCCGGCTGGCACTTTCAACGCGTTTTGGTGAATGTAGTATCCCAATTCCACCGTAAGAAAGGCGAGTTTATGGCTGATGATCCCCGTGCAGACTCCACAATAAACTTCGCCAGGTTTGAGAATTAAACGTATTTTATTCACGTTCACTTTGTTTTAGTCAACAAACGAAGAGAAGTTTTCCACAATGCCAAAACTGTCCCTCAAAGCTCGAGTAAACTACACAAGCACATCAGAACCGTTGCGCTCTCATTTCCTCTCAGTTTTCTGAAAACTAAAACTTCCAGAATTTACATTAATGAACATCGGCGATTGGCCGTCTTCGCACTTCACGTAAATAAAACAACGTGGTTTTCACATAATGAAACATCAACATATTTACAGGATTATTTTTAAGGGAATAAAACCAAATTAAAACATCCCATGGCTCCTCCAGTGAAGATCTCTTAAGCTCAGAGGCTTTCAGTGTAATAGAGGTGTACCCGTCGACTTTAAGAGCTGCAGGAGTGTCTGTACTTCCCACAGGAGACAGGGTTTTGTAGTGACACGGAGCGTGCATGTCACCCGTCCCTTCGTGTAATTTGGTTTCTTCTCGGGTTTGTCACAAGATGCACAGATGTACAGTTTGACCAAGATAAGCGCCCGGCGTGATCAGCTCTGGTCCCAGCCGGGCTGTGTCAGTAACGGCCGGGTGTATCGCAAAACGGCTGATGCTTACACCGTGCATTTAACTCTGGGATGCGGCTTGAAACGTGCCCGCCTGGTAGTCAGTTAATCGGTCGCCGGATCTCACCCAGCTGTTTCTTGAAAGAGGAATCGTCTAGTTGGCGCCGTTGCCGTGAAAGAGGGCTCAAAGCTGGACTCATTCGCACAAGGATGCTCACCGTTACAGCATGGCGTTGAGTAAAAAAAAAACCTACATATTTATTAAAGAGGAATATTACCATGCACTACGTGGGTACGTGGTTAATAAAGGCATTTTTTTTATCATTCCGTTTCTCCCAGTTTCCCGTGTTTTTCGCAGTCCGAGGTAAGTCTGCTGTGAGAGGAGTGTCTCTCTCCGGGGGGGACTGCAGGAGTACAGGGGGCTGTCACCGGGGGTAGCTGAACGAAGAGGAAAACTTCAGTCTCTCATGTCGTGCGTGTCTGTTCGTCCCCCCACCAGGACCCCCTGGTCGAGGGATCCCTGCTCCTCCTCGGTGTGGCTGCCCTGGGCTTCCCCCTTCACTCTCAGACCCTGCAGTCGGTTAATAAAAATAAACTATTTTATATAGCGCCTTTAAAGGTGGCTTCTCAAAGCGCTTTACAGGATGACAACAACAATAAATAAGAAGAATACACAAGATAAAACACAATTACAATACACAGAGGAGGCCGTGGATGGTGGTACTAGGAAAAGCAGAGGGGTGAAGAGTGGGACCAGTTAAGTAAAGGCTTTTCTGAAGAAGATAATAGTCTGGTTAATAATCAGGTATTACAAATGCAGACAACTGTCCTTCCGAAGTGGCTTACATTCCCAAGCTCCGCTTTAAAATCTGCTGGAGGAGACTTCTTCCTCTCACGTGACCCCTGACCCCCTCTCTTCCAGGTGTGCCAGTCTGGGAGGAGAGACGGGGTGGCACGGGGTGGCACCGACACAAATGGAGTCTGTGCACTTCTGCCAGACCTCGGCGCCCCCGATCAGGTGGGTGGTGTCGGAGAACGGGGAGCTGCGGATAGAGGCGGACCCCGGGGGAGGCGGGGGAAGAGAAGGGGTAGCCCTGCCCAGGGGCCCTCCCAATCCTGCCTCCGCTCCTGTCCCAGGCTGCCTCAGCGGGCTGACGGCCACCCCCAGCAGGACCCCTGCAGTTCGGACGGTACCGATGCAAGTCGCCTCCCCCATCCCGCGGGCCCTGCAGCTGCCCAGCACGTGCTTCTCCAGAGGTGACCGTCTCACAGCAGGGCTGTTCTCAGTCCTCCTCTTCCCTCTCATGCTCCATCTCTGGCTCAATAATAAATGAGAAATGCCTGTTGTGTTTTTTATTTCTGCTCGTCACTTTTCTCTCTCTAACTCCTGCTCTCCTTCCAGACCTAAGAATTTCTCATCCCCGAATGCCATTGGGGTGAAGTCTCTCCTGTGTCTCCACTTTCCCCTCTTCTTGCTGGTGACCCAGGCTGACCTTTGACCTTTGACCTCTGAACTTGCATTCCTTTCCGTCTTTGTCTCCTCTTGTCCTCCCTCCCCTCTCCCTTCCCCTGGTTTCTGACTCTGGCTTTCCCACTTGCCTGTTGCTCTTTCTTGCCTCCTGTCTCTGCTCTTCTTCTGGCTCACCCAGCCTTCCTCTTCCACTCCTCACAGGGGATCCTGCTGCACTCGGAAACCTCAGATCAAGCTCTGGCTTGGCCAAAACGGAGATGCACCCGCAACCTCCCCTGCCTCTCCCTTCTGCCCTGGCTGTAGCTGTAGCCCACTCTGAGAGGGGGTCCTTGCCATACCAGGCTCTTCAGGGCAAAGGTCAGCCGGAGGTTGGGGAGACGACGCAAGTGCAAATCAAGGAGGAGGGAATTAAGAAGGAAAGTGGGGAGCTGGAGTGTGCCCTACAGAGGGAGGAACATCCAGAATTGGAATTGGGCTCCGTCAAGGAAGAGGACGAGGGAGAAGGACAGCTGTTTTCCGATTCCCTCCAGGTGCCCAAGAAAGAGGAGGAGGGTTTCAGACCAATCCAGGACCCTGCCTGTATCACTCCAGTAGGGGGCGCTGTGGAACAGGTTTTTCCCACCCAGACCTCCGCCCAGCCAGAGATCCGGCATGTACCTCCCCAAGCCACAATTCCTGACGCTGGACCACGCTTCCCTTTAGTTATCCACTATGTCCGGATTCTGAATAAACGCCCTGTGTCTTCCAGCCAAGACTCTGTTCAGCCTGGACCCAGACCTGCGGGACACAGCTCTGCCTCTCGACAATCTGCTTTCAGGAGCAGAGAAGCATGTAACCCTAATCCTGTTAATTTCCCTTGCTTACCTGGTGCAGATTTATCCCAGGGGAGCTCAAAGCAGCCACTTCCAGAATCTTCCCAAACTAGAGGCGAAATCTCCTGTCCATCACCGGGAGATCTGCTGGCTCCTCGGACAGGGAGCGTGTCCGACAAGCAGAGGGGTGACCCCGAGACTGACGCTTGCTTTGAAGAGCCAGATGGGAGCTGCATGGAGACCCCACAGCTGGGCTGGGCTCCAGGTGTTGGTGTAACTGTGACCTTGCTTAGCTCAAAAGGTGTACCAGGACAAAAGAACTCCCCTACCGCTCCTGTCTCTCACCCCAGCAACGCAAGCAGGGTGTTAAAACTTGCGAAGTCCTCTCTGAATTGTGATGCCGAGTGTGCTGCGTCAGTCAACGGAATTGAAAGGATCTGTAGATCACAGCTGGATTACAGGTTCAGCAGCTCTGCACCTGCCACCGAGGTCTGGGGTTTTCTAGGTGCCTCTTCTGGGGATGATGGCAATCCACAAGGGGAGAGCACCGGAGTCTCACCCTCCAGGAGAAACAATGGCAAAGGGTCTGGTCACGAGGTTGGCTCTGAATTGGAGGAATGTTCCAATTCCAACTCTAACCCGGACGACGGGGGCCCAAATACCGGAGAGAGAGAAGGGCCGAATCTCCCAAAATCGGAATCTCGGAATGACCACCTCAGAGGGAGGAATGATCCATTGTCCAAAGCCCTCCTTCCTAGCGGAGCTGCTGCTCCTCTGCAATCTGCCCCAAACAATCGGAGAGAGGAGCGAGTGCCATCTGGTTGGGTCGACAAGATGGCCAAAAAACAAGGGCCTGATGTAGCCCTGACTTCAGAAAGAGGTAACAGTGGGATCATCCATTCGGAGCAGATGGCTCCCATCAAGAGGGAAACACAGGGTCCTGACTCTAACAGCCATTGGATCCCTGATACCCCAGAAGCTGCAAGGCTGAAGTTGGACAACAAGATGGAGGATGAGGTTTCCCAAGGGGAAACAGGGGGTGTAGACCACAGAGTCACCCCAAAGACTGAGGATGTGAGCTTTTCCAGAGAGGTGAAAGAAGGTTGCCAGGCTGCACAAGAGATGGATAGGGGTGCACTACTGCCAGTGGAAAGTGGGGAGACCAGGGAACCCCCAATGAAAAAGGAGGATGAGGTTGACCAGGATGTTGGCGAGAACCCTTCGGCTATCGTGGCGCAGGCTAAGCACAGCGAAACAGGAACCCCGATCACAAATGCAGCAGCTACAGGTAGGTCACGATTAGACAGTCCTGATTTAGCCAACCTGAAACTTGCGTCCTGTTCAGAGTGTGAACTGACACAGGCAATCCGACCCATTTCCCAAGAGGGTATTCCATCTGGGAAATGGGTCGGATTGCCTGTGTCAGTTCACACTCTGGACAGGACGTAAGTTTCAGGTTGGCTAAACTCACACATGTATCTGAGCAAAGCTGTGTTTTCAGGTCTCCTGCAGACAGCGTACCCTCTCTACGGCCTGCAATTAGCATAATCAGAGGACGATTAGACTGATCTGCAGTGAGAGTGTGTTTGTACAGAATGCAGCACACAATTCCACCAACAGAAATGATTAAATCTAGAATAGTAGCTGTTTTAGTGTTTGTTCGTGGAGCTGGCCTTAGTAATCAGAGACATAGACTGACATTCAGGGGGGCTGTCACTTTCCCTCCTACAGACAGAAGGGACTCTCTGTGGAGGGCTGCGTGTGTCGGAGCGCCTGCTGGCCGAGAGAATGAGCTGTGAAAACTCTTCTGGCTTCTTGTGCGTGGAACTCTGTTCTCGTGCTTCCTCCCTGTTGCTCTGTCCACAGCCCCGAAGACTTCCACGCCCGGCTTGCCTCTCGCCTGCCCTCTCTGCAACGAGGGCCTCTGCGGAGACGCAGAGCTCCCCCGGCACCAGAGGAACTGCCGCAGGCAGCAGCTGCGCGGCGAAACCCTCCGCGCCCGCCCCGCCGTCACCCACCGGGCCGCTCACGCCAAGACCAAACAGGAACCCACCACCCCCACGGCATCCCCTCCGCTCGGCAGGCCGGCGTCTCGGGCCCGCGGGCCGTGCAGCCGGGCACCGGCAGCTCTGAAGAAGCCCCGGCACGGGCCTGGGGAAGGGCGAGGGAGCGAGAGGGAACAGGGAGGAGGAGCAGCTGGAGCAGAGGCGGTGGGACGAAGAGGGGACGAGGAGAGGCCGGGAGAGGAGGAGAGGAAGGACGGAGGAGCAGAGGCGGGAAAGCAGGGACTTGCCCTGCACTGCTGCCCTCAGTGCCCCAAAACACTCCACGACTTCAGGTTGTTCCAGAGGCACCTGATGGTCCACGGAGATTTGGCAGCGGCGTCGGGAGTTGAGGAGAGCGCAGAGGGCACCTGGAAGCGACCGTACCGTCGCGCCGACTGCCCAACCACCTTCCTGCATGCCGCCTCGCTGGACAGGCACACTCTCCTCCGCGCAGGGAAGCAGCCCTTCACCTGCGAGGCCTGCGGACGGCACTTCCGGAAGGCGGCCCACCTCCGGTTGCACCAGAAGTCCCACCCGGGAGGGGCGGAGACAGCGGGCGGGGAGGGCGGCGGCCGGCTGGGGGCAGGGCCTGCGTTTCCCCACTGCTGCGATCAGTGCGGGAAGGTCTTCCGCAGGGCCAGACACCTGTACCGCCACATGAAGATCCACACCGGGCACAAGCCTTGTGTCTGCTCCGAGTGCGGGAAGAGATTCCGGGACTCCGAGCGCCTGCGGCGGCACGAACGGGTGAGACCTGCTCTTTTGTCGTGCTCCGTCGTCACATGCACGTCCCTCGTGTACGGAGTTCGAATGCCAAGTGTGCACATAGGCGTTCCTTTTTAGATTTTCGGAAGAATGTATGTGGAGTAAAAACGCTATGACTGACCTGAAGCAGAGGCCTGTCACTCTGTTAGCATGATTCGAACGAGAAGTCGTTGGCATATCACATACGGGCCGTGGGCATGGGTGACATGGGGACAAGTAAATGAGATTGAATTGCTCTTCGACTACGTTTTGACTCCAATAATATAGTGCGGATCAGCTAGTAATTAATATTATATCGGTGAGTTAAAGAATGAATGTAGTTCATGCTTTAATTTTCCTGTAGTTATTGCAAATTTATTATTGGCAGAGGCCTGTGCTGGATAAATTAATAATAATATAACTAAACAGTCTACCGTGGACTTAACAACTCATTATAGACCATTAAAGCCGTATATAAATCCTTTAAAACTCCATTTTAAAGATTTGTTATATGATTTTGGTGAGTGTTTGAATATAACTTTGTTCTAATGTTTTCTTGGAATAACAGTTGACATTCCTGATCTGTTTTATGCACTCGATTCTTGTCTAACACGGGAAGTAAAACGTTGCCACACAATTATACGGATTTAAAGGCAATCAAATGAAAAGTGAAATGGCTACATTTCCTGTATATTCCAAAGACAAAAAAATGAATTGAACTAAAACCTTAATATATAGAACAAAATCGATTAGTTAATTAATTTAATTAATTAAACTGGCAGCCAAAAATATGACTAAAACGACTTCCGTTTCGGTCAACAAAAAGAGTGTGACTAAAACCTGACTGTATCCCGTCCGCGTTTCAGTGGACCTGACTAATCCGACGACTAAAACGCAAAAACGGAAGACGGTGAATTAACGCTGCGTACCTGCGTCGCGGGCGCGGTATTCAGTGCCCTGAGCGCTCTCTCTCTCTCTCGCTCTCCCCCGCAGGTGCACACGGGCGAGACCCCTTACCCCTGCCCCGACTGCGGCAAGCGCTTCCGCTTCTCGGGGGACGTGCGCAAGCACCAGCGCATCCACACGGGGGCGCTGCCCTACCAGTGCCCCCAGTGCAGCCGCCGCTTCCGCGACTCCAGCACGCTGAAGAAGCACCAGCTGACCCACTCGGGCCGCGCCCCCTTCCAGTGCCCCGACTGCGGCAGGCGCTTCAGCCAGGTGGGCAACCTCAAGCGCCACCGGCGGACCCACAGCGGCGAGGCGCCCTACCGCTGCCCCGACTGCGGCAAGGGCTTCAACCACGCCGACAACCTCAAGCGCCACGGCCGGGTGCACACGCCCGACTCCCTGCACCCCTGCCCCGACTGCGGCACCAAGTTCCGCAGCCTCTCCAAAGTGCGCGCCCACCGCAAGAGCCACGCCCAGCCGAAGTCCCTGGACTGCCCCCACTGCGGCAAAACCTTCCGGCGCTCTGGGGATCTGCGCAAGCACCAGCTGGTGCACAGCGGCGAGCGGCCCTTCGCCTGCACCGCCTGCCCCAAGAGGTTCGGCCACCTGGGCAACCTGAAGAAGCACCTGCTCATCCACACGGGGGCGCTGCCCTTCCGCTGCCCGGATTGCCACCGCGGCTTCAATCAGCTGGGCAACATGAAGAAGCACCGGCGCACGCACCAGCGC